TTCACTCTTCTTAGAAAACCGTATTACTAACTGATGCTGCCCATGGTTTTATGCACTGTATCTTTTCATTGTCCGTTTAAATCTCAGCTGAGCTCTCAAGAGTAGCAGGCGAGGGCTGGGTTGGTTTCATTTAACGCCACACTGTTTCCCACAACACTGCCCTGTCTGCCGCTCCCACATACTCTGCTGCCCGTGTGGTGATGCTGCTTTTGAGGAGCTCTCATGCCACTTGAGCTTTGATTGATTTTTCAAGATTCTGTCTAATCCTTCCCCAAGGTGTCCCTTCACGGAGGAAGGTGCTGGGAGTAAAATTCAAAACATATTTGTGGCATTGACCAGCTTTGAGTGAGGAGCCAGATGGATGAAATGGGGCCTCATGGGGACAGTAAAGAATTCTCATGCTCTCCCAGTGCCATAAACCCAGAGCGGCCTCTGAAAGGCTAAGCTGGAGGGGCTAATGCAGGTGGTGTCATCTAAACTGATGTCTCTAATCAGTCAAGTCACTATACTATTTGCTTTGTCAGATAAGTGCCTCTGGGGAAATCAGGTCGGAGAGTGGGAAAATAAACTGTTTGCTCAAGCTGATGTGAATCTTCAAAATCTATTTCAAATGCAGAAATTAAATAGGCTGTGCTTTGCCTTTCAGGAACCTCCTTCAGAACTCAACCAGTGAGTGAGAGGGACAGAGGGAGTTACCAGAACACAAGCTCGACTTTAGCTTGGCTCTAACTCTGGTTGCAGGTTCCTCCTCCTACTCGATGATCTAGTGTCCACAGATGGTGCCTGTGCAGTCCTGAGTTCCAGCTGGGTCGGAGGGCATGCCTCACAGAGCCAACATCTGCCACTCTGCGTCTGTCGGAGCCCTCAGAAGGCTGGTTTTCAGTTTGAGGAATCAATCTCAATCCAGTAAAGCACTTACAGCTCAGGGGCTTTGATCTTTGCTTGGCAAATGCCCTAACTGCTGAGTTCTACATACTTTGCCATTTCTCCCTTATCTGCCTTCTTTCATACAAGCTCCAGCTTGTATGAAACCAGAGCCAGAGTTTTCTCCATGTTTGGAACCCACTTTCTGATTCCTTGAGCATGGGTGAGAGGAATGGGGGTGGGGATGAGATGGGTTGGGGAAGGAAGGACAGAAGTTTAATGGAAAAACAAGAACAGAAATAAAATGCATTTATGGGCTGGGCACTGTGGCTCACGCCTGTGATCTCAATTCTCTGGAAAGCTGCAGTGGGAGGATTCCATGAGGTCAGGAGTTCAAGACCAGCCTGGGCAACATAGTGAAACATCGTCTCTACAAAAAAAACAAACAAACTAGCCCAGCTGTGGTGGCATCTGCCTGTGGTCCCAAGTACTTGGGAGGCTAAAGCGAGAGGATGGCTTGAACCCAGAGTCTGATGCTGGAGTGAGCTATGACTGCACCACTGCACCCCAGCCTATGCAACAGTGACACCTGATTTCTAATAAACAAAATGTATTTATGCTATATTTAAAAACTTTCTGAGCTGGGTGCGGTGGCATACACCTGTAATCCCAGCATTTTGGGAGGCCGAGTTGGGTGGATCACTTGAGGTCAGGACTCCAATTCCAGCCTGGCCAACATGGTGAGACCCTGTCTCTACTAACAATACAAAAATTAGCTGGGCACAGTGCGCATGCCTGTAATCCCACCTACGCGGGAGGCTGAGGCACGAGAATCGCTTGAACTCAGGAGGCGGTGGTTGCAGTGAGCTGAGTTCGCACCACTGCACTCCAGCCTGGGCGACAGAGCAAGACTCTGTCTCCAAAAAAATAAAATAAAAACTTTTTCTCAAAGAGCTCTGAAATGGAAAGAGTGCACAATAGCTTCAATTCAATGATGGCAAAGTTAAAATTCCTAACATGGTCTCCTGGCACACTCTGGATGATACGGGAAACACAGTGACATCCTTGCTGTTTTTAAACTTGAGCAACTCAAGTTGTTAGTATGAGAGGCAAATAATTAACATCTAAATGCAAGCTGACTTTCTTCTCACAGCTAGCATATACCTCAAGTCAGCCAGCCCATTTCATCTTCTTTTTCGAATAGCTTCTGTCAATGAATTCTCTACAATTTCATAATGTATATATGCTAGGATGCATTTGTCTTAAATGCAGTGATGTTTTGACTATCTCTAAGTAAAAGTGCATTCAGAACATAATGAAGCCCGTATTTTTTTGCACTGTCTCTTAATTTTATGGTGGATAAAGCACCAATTTCTGAAATTCAATACAAGCAAATCTTCCTTTGTTGTTCAGATCTTAGCAGTGGGTTTAGTAGTTTTAACTTCTTCCATTTTGAAGCTTTCCATTTTTAGCCTGAAGTAGCTAAACATATAAAGGAAAGGAAGGAGAGATCATCGAAGTAGCTAATCAGATAAATGAAAACTGACTTGAAGTTAGGCTTTATTCTCCCTTTCTTTTCTTGAATTGGATAATAACATCTCTACTTTGGATTATGTTCAATAACCAAGAAAACAAACAGCACTTAAAAAAAAAAAAAAAGAAACCCAAATTCCATGAAAAAATAGCTTGGTAACAGTATTAATATTCCAGAAAAAAAAATATAAGAAGTTTGGTATTTAAAACAAAACAAATAACCAAACTGCTTTCCTCATCTACCAAAATCCAACATTAAGTAACACTTAAAACAGGCAATTTACCACCTCCATTGAAATGAATACATAGTCTCCAATTTATATATGCTGTACTCTAAAGTAAGGACAACTGAAAATTAAGATGTGCTTTCCACAGAAAGTGATATAAATGGCAGCTCAAGAGTTCCAGATGGTTTAACGCTACAAGGTGTTCTCAACAAAAAGTCTTTGTTAGACTTCAGCAATACTATTTGGTACTTCTAACAGCAAATAGGAAGCATTCCAATACTTATTAGATCCTCTACCATCAGACACAGAAATTACCTAGAAAATAGAAATGTATTGCCAAATCTCAAACAAGAGGGCTACTGATTAAAACAAACAAAAACACCCTTAAGACATCTCACATACAGAAAACATGGCCGTCTTTGGGTTACGATTGGCTGATTTTCCAGTAGTGCTCGGGTAGGTCTTCCTGATAGAGGGGTCCGGGAATGGCAGGGTCCCATAAGCAGCTGGTGAGGAGGACCCACTGCTTTGCCTCCTACCAGTGAGGAGCGAGGATTTGGGGAAGGACTATGCATCCATCGTTCCTGATGTTCTTTTCATGGCTCCCCTTCTCCTCAGTTATTGTCCATCTACCTCCAGATGGCAGCAAACGACTTATTTTAGCCCTTTCTTCTCATTTAGATATAAAGTGCAAATGTCTGATTCAGATACAAGACTGTATGGTCTTCGGTTAAATGTATAATCAAACTAAAAGTATAAATGATACCAGCTCCCTGATTTTTCTGGCAAGAGGGAAGTAACAGCTATCTGGAGAGGACTAGGGAAAGCTAAGGAATGGATTCACAAGAGAACGGAAAGGTAAAAGGTAAAGCTGAGTGAGGCTCGAACTTTTGCTTAGTGCCAGCATTGTTGATCTGCACCTGAGCAAGCTCACATAAATGCATGTACACACAGGCACGGAGCTCTCTAACATGGAATTGAGGTGAAACCCTGTCTCTATAAAAAAATACGCCAGGTGTGGTGGTGGGCGCCAGTAATCCCAGCTACTCGGGAGGCTGAGGCAGAAGAATCGCCTGAACCCGGGAGGTGGAGGTTGCAGTGAACTGAAATCGTGCCACTGCACTCCAGCCTGAGCTACAGAGTGAGACTGTCTCAAAAAACAAAAACAAAAGCATTGGTACTTCATGTAACAAATTATGATTTGGGTATGTCTATACTTTTACAACATAACTGGCACTTGTATAAAGGAAATTCTTTGTCAAGGACTGAATCAAGGAACTTAACACCCTATTCTGGAAAAACAAGTATGCAATACTAGTAGGAGGAAGTAGAAAGCTTCTTTCTGTTTTCCTAGGCACAGGGCCTGTCTTCAAGAAACTTTCAAAACAGGTAGTTAGGCTTTGGCTGGCTTCTACACCATCTGCAAATGCCCAAGGCCTTCATGCAACCTTTAGCTACCTAGGGCTACCCGGTACCCTAAAGTGCCCTGCACCTTAAAACTCACCTGTTTTCTCCTTTTTCATTTCTGCCCCTATCACTGCCTTTCTGCTAGGTGCAGTGAACTAACACCTGTAGCTCCAGCTGCTCAGGAAGGTAAGGTGGGAGCATCACTTGAACCCAGGAGTTTGAGTCCAGCCTGGGCAACACAGCAAGACCTCACTGCTTTAAAAAAAAAAAAAAGTAGGGCTCAGTGACTCATGCCTGTAATCCCAGCTACACAGAAGGCTGAGGCGGGAGGATTACTTGAGCCCAGGAGTTCGAGACTGTAGTTAGCTGTGATTGTGCCACCACACTCCATCCTAGGTGACAGAACAAGACCCCATCTCTTAAAAACAAACAAACCAAAAATCACAGGCTTCCTCTCAGAGAAGGGGGGTGGGGCTCTACTTAGTAGCAGAGTCTCTTAATCAACAGTAGTGTAATGTATCAATAATCAGATACATCCCTTTCAGAGATCTATATTTTCAGCCACAAAGCTTAAAATCTCAATTGTCAACTAGTAGGATTTCCGGCAAAATAACAGAAAAGTAGAAAATAAAAATCAGGTTGTAGGAGGTTAACTTTCCAGGTAGTTCATATTCAACGTGTCTACACAGCTCCTGCGGGTCATTTCTGCTTTCTATGTCTTCCTTTAGCTAAGGCCAGAAATTCAAAAAATTCCATTGGTTATGGAGATCCCTCTTCACCCACCCATTCACTCAATGAGAAAGAACAATTTGTGGAAGGCAGGGGATATCACAAGAGAAAATGGCACATCAGAGTGTAATGTCTCAAATAAAAGGCTTACTTTACACTTCATACTAGTATATTACTGTTCATAATATTATAAAATTATGTTATAAAAATATATAATAAGATCTCATTAGAAACTCTGAATGGACTGACACTTGATAATTCTCTTAAGTAGAACACAATGAAACAGTAGTGGCTGGCTAAGTTCCATCAATTTTTTTTAACTCTTTTTGACTTTTTCTCCTGGTCTTCTGTTATCCTTTCTGCAGGTCGCTTCTTCAACCCCTTCATTTTCCTGGTTTGTAGTTTGCTTAGGTCTTGCTTCTGCATATGAATCCTTCCATAAGTTGTACCAAAAGTATCATGGGAGATATTTTTCTTCTTCTTTGGCTACGACAAAAGAATACGTATATATTTAATGGCCTTCTACTATAATGAGCCAGTAAAAACCTAGTCTGTAACAACTATCTTAGTAGCAATTTCCATTAGTGCCTGCCCCTTCAATGACAGAGTATATATAGCCCTATATACTTTTCTTCTCAAACTTAAGTGTACATACAAATCACTTGGGATCTTGCTAAAGCACAGATCCTAATTCAGTATGTCTAGGGTAGGGCCTGATATTCTGCACAATTCCCAGGTAAACTGTCAGGCCACACTTTGAAAAACAAAACTATAAACTACACTAACCACTGTCAAACATCAAGAAAATATCCTGTGTGTAGCTTAAGGAGTTGTGACTATCATTTCAATTTCTATTGGCATTTTAGGGGATTACATTTCTGCTTGTCTTTTAAGACTACTTAAAAAGTCAAAACACATTTTATGCACATATGGTTTACATACCCTGTGCTCTAAATCCTCAGTCTTTACAGCGTCCCAAACAACTCTCTTCCTTTTGTTGAAAACAGCAGTCTTGACTATCAGAAGGCACTTAGCCAAACCTCACGTCTGGGTTGTGCAACTCTTTTTTTTTATTATCCCTTATTGTTGGCTTATTTGGTTCTCTCTCCTTTTCCTGGCTCTGTGAGTCCTAGTTTAATCTATCGTATTGATCTCTTTATGTATGTCCTTGTCTTTTTTTTTTTTTTGAGATGGAGTCTTGCTCTGTCGCCCAGGCTGGAGTGCAGTGGCGTAATCTCAGTTCACTGCAAGCTCCACCTCCCAGGTTCACACCATTCTCCTGCCTCAGCCTCCCAGGTAGCTGGGACTACAGGTGCCCACCACCACGCCCGGCTAATTTTTTGTATTTTTCGTAAAGACGGGGTTTCACTGTGTTAGCCAGGATGGTCTTGATCTCCTGACCTCGTGATCCGCCCGCCTCAGCCTCCCAAAGTGCTGGGATTACAGGTGTGAGCCACCATGCTGGGCCTATCCTTGTCTTTTAATACAATATGCCACAAATCCTTTTTGGAAACAAAAAGGATTAAAGTAGAATATACAAATAAATATGGCACCAAGCTCTAAGTCATATACCTTGAGAGCTTTTGGCATTTTCATAGATAATTTATAAAGGTCATCCGATGCCAGGTGTGTCCTCCTCAGAACGAGATCCAATGAGGGTCCCATCTCTTCCAATTCAATCCGTGGTGTTCTGCAACCAGATTTCTTCAACAGCAATCTTTAGGAAATAGGTAAAAAGAAATGTTGCTATGACTTTCATAAAAGTCCTCTCCACCAAATATTTTTTGTTCAGGGGATTTACAGGTCCATTAAATGACATAAAATGTTTAGAGAGACTTACTTGAATACTTCATACATTCAAGCCAAGCATATCCTTTGGTTCACTTTTTGTTTTATAAATCTTTTTTTTTTTTTTTTTTTTTGAGATAGAGTCTTGCTCTGTCGCCCAGGCTGGAGTGCAGTGGCGCAATCTCAGTTCACTGCAAGCTCCGCCTCCCACATTCACACCATTCTCCTGCCTCAGCCTCCCAGGTAGCTGGGACTACAGGTGCCCACCACCACGTCCAGCTAATTTTTTGTATTTTTAGTAGAGATG